GGGGGTGGGGGGGGGAGGTACCTGAATGACACTCTTCGATCCTACAAATGCCTCTATTTTCTTCCAATCACGATCGAATCTGAAATCGAATCAAAGAACACCCCGTCAACATCATGATTAGATGCATTCTACGAAATTCATATTTGAATTAACGAGGTCCCAGGGCTCTTCCGGACTTGCTCCAAATTTTCTCCGCATCGAACCACGAATTCCAAACAACGGGAGAGGAAAAACCCAAAATCAATGTAAACGATAAGCTCGATTCGATTACTCACAGCTGAAGAGCTTCTAGAAATCTGTCGTGCTCTTGCTCGCTCCAGCTCTCTCTAGACTTCGTCATCGTATACAGTTTACGGGTCCTCTTGCTCGAATCTTCCGGAAATGGCAACGAATTCTTCCCACCCGCCGCAGGCGAGCAATCTCCGGGAGCTTTCGCCGCCGTTTCAGCCGTCGGCGTCCGAGAACTGAGACCGGACTTCATAATCGGATCGAATAAACAGTGTTCTCGAACAGAATTCGGGGCCACAGACACCATAAAACAAGAAACTGAAGACTTCAACCGAAGAAAGAGCAATGGAGCAAAACCCTAATCTTCAACCTTCCGTTTTCGGTTCGAAATCTTCTGGCTCTGTTTCCCGTCAAGCCAAATGTGGTCTATAACTCTCAATCATAAAGAAAACTAGTAACCGACTCCTGAAAATGAAATGATACGAAATGGTAAAGCAGTGGGGGACGCAGGGACAAGTTTGGTATTTCATACGGAGAAGAAACCCTTACCGTACACGTGGCGAATCATGGATCCTCCGATCTTCTCAACCACGAGAACATTCTCTCTCTCGTGCGGCTGTCAGTATGCCAACAGTTTAGTTGGAGAAATAAAATAAATAACCGCCAAAAACTTTATGGCGGTTGAGATGCTATAATTTTATTTTATTTTATATTTTATTATAGGTTAAATTAAATGGTCGATTAACCGAAAGATACAGCGGTGTTTAATTTGTTTAATACAAAAATAAGACCTCTTTTATTAATCATAAATTATAGATTAGTGCGAATTAATCAAACAAGAGTATATAATTAAGCACGGAGCAAAGGAGAGTGAGGGGACAACAAGCGAGGGGAGAGGGCGTGTTCCTCGTAGATCCTCGACGAGGGGCTCAGCCGAAGATTCCTTTGCCAACCGCCACGTGTCTTGTTATCCGCCGCCGTCTTCTTGATATTTCTGTTTCCGAGAACGAACTCTCGGATTCTCCGAAGTCCGACGTGGAGCGTCTCCTCGTCCATGTTAGCGAAGCAGACCCTGAACCACCCTGGCTCGGAACAGTGGAACGAGGAGCCGGGCGAGACGTTGATCCTGACCTTGTTGACGATGACATTCCACAGAGCCATTTCAGATTCAAAGCTCTGGTCTTTCAGCATCGGCCTGAGATCCATCCACACGAACAAACCCGCGTTGCTTGTCAAGCAAGAAATCCCCATTTCTTCGAGCCCTTTGGTGAACACTCCATGTCTATTCGCTAGTCTCTTCGAGCTCTGAACCATGAAATCGTCGACGAATCTCTCGTCGGACAGCAAAGCCGCGAGAAAACTCTGCGTCTGAGAAGAAACCAGCCCGAAGCTGGACATCTTCCTGGCGGCGGACACGACAGCGTCGTTGAAGGAGTAAATGATTCCGACCCTGAAACCGGGAAGACCCATGTCCTTGGACAGGCTGCAGACAATGTGGATAAGGTCACGGTTGATGATGTGACCATGATGATCCATATCTTGGACGATTTCAGCCACGCTGGTGAATTTCGGCGCAGCCGAGAAGACGGTGGCCGCGTAGATTTCGTCGCAGACGAGGTGGATCTGTTTGTCGTTGACGAAACCGACTAGGGTTTCGAGAGTTGATCCATCGAGAGTGGTGCCGAGAGGGTTAGATGGGTTCGAAAGGATGAGACCTTTGACCTTTGTTCCTGATTCTCGGGCTTTGAGGTACGATGATTCTAGGGCTTGTCTTGTTATCCGGAAATCGTTCGAGCTGTAACACTCCACTGGTATTATCCGTACTCCGGTCCTCCACCTGAGGTCTCTGTCGAATCTGCAATATTGATGGACCCACATTATAGCGTACATATATATAAGATTAAAGGGTCTATACGTATATATATATATACACACACGTACGCAGCGTAGTAGGGCGTGGGGACAAGAAAGGCATCGCCGGGGTCGGCGAGACAGAACATGAGAGTCTCGTTGGCACCGGTGGCTCCGCCGCTCATAACCACTCTCTCCGGTTCGAACCTCACCCTCCCTCCTCTCGCTTTCCCCATAAACCTCGCGATCGCCTTTATTTTTGTTCATGAAAAACAGCAACACGCACGTTTCAATACATAAAAGTAATAATCCATTTAAATAACGTATCGACACGAAATCTTTCTATGAACATATATATACACACACCACTCGTTAACATACGTACGGCATCCAAACATATGTATATACGCATACGTGTGTGTTACCCTATTTTACTATATATGAAGAAGTTGTAGTTTCGTATTATTCATATAACGTATGTATATACTAATATATATATATATATATATGTATATGTATATGGTAAAGCATACCTGTCTAAATTCTGGAAGGCCATGATAGTCTTGAAAAACAGCGACGTGGGAGAAGTCGTGGACACCCTCAGACGTGCAGATAGACGCATGCGGATTCACCTTTATCCACTCTTTTATCAAATCAGAACAAAGCTGATGAAACCACACGTCACGCTCATCATGTCAGAGACATAATCATACCCAAGAATGTCTGGATGATGAAACCACAAACATATTTGTAGAGATAGAGAGAGAGAGAGAGAGAGAGAGAGAGAGAGAGACGAACTTGATTTTCGGCGAGACCCATCTGGATAACGCCGTGAGGGTTGCGAGTAGGGTGAAAAGGGTCATCTTCGTAGGCTTTCCATCCGTCGAAGTAGGGCGAATCCTCCCCGTGTTGGTCGCCGCCGGCGATTTTGGACAGGAGATTCTTGTCGGAAGCAGCCGCCATATTATCGATCCTATATATCAATCTGTGAAAGTGTGTATGTTTTTGCTGAAGTTGGTCGATCAGGTGATAAGAAAACGGGGAGATATATGGAGGGGTATTTATAATGGGGTGTTCAGAAGACCCAACGAGGTCAGAGACAGACAAAATCAAATTCCACAGTGAGAAACCTAAATATGAATTTTCGGTTTCTTTTTTTTTTCCGTATCGGAGGGGTCAAAAGTGAGATAGTACAGTCAAACTCAAAGCAAGCCGGGGAATATATATTTACACGATGAATGTTTCTAAACATTATGTAACAAATCGTTTAAAATGTTTATAAACCGTGTTTAATCCATATTTTCCCCCTAAGTTTAGTTTTGTATTATTTGGTTAATAACCAAATAATTAAGTGAATTGAACGGAATAAAACATAACAATAACTGGTATAAAAATCGAATGATTATAATTTCTCTATAATAAAAAAAAATCAATTTTGAACCGAATAACAAAAAAAAACATTTTTTTAATACCAACAAAAATCGAAATCGTACCAAACCGAATTTAATATAGAAATCGAATGGTTTTAAATTTTTTTATAAAATCAAAATAAATGAATTCGAATAGGACTCAACCAAAATTCAAAATGACCACCTCTAACTTATAGATATTGAATATCTAATTATGATGGCTCTTTGTGATCAAATGAGTAAACCGTAATTGCTCCGGTATCTCACACGTGACATTAATGCAAACAATGGTGGGGTTTTCTACATAATTATCTAATTCAATTAAAGAAAAAATATGATTAAAGTGTGATATTTCTGAAAAGGGTTTACAAGTTTTGAATTGGAATTGTATTGGGTGCCTTTTTAATGGAGAAAAAAAATTATAAGATATGCAAAAACGTGAGGATTCAACTTCTCAAGTGTCAATCCAATTTAACACGTGAGGAAAAACAACGACAAAAAGTTGACACATGGCAGCAGCCGGGGACTTGGGAGTTAAAGGACATCTCTTCTGTCGGCTAATTTTAAGCCTCGTTTGCTTTCCGCATCAACCGCCACAATAGAGTTGAAATAAATGAAGTTGTTTTTTCATATCTGTGGATCATATAAAATTATGTGGTAAAAGTTGTGCCATTTAGGTTAATTACGTTGCTCAATTAACATAAAATTTGTTGAAGATTTTGGTGAATTTCCCTATGTTGTTGTAAATGGGAGTAAACAAAATTATGGTCACACTAAAAAAATAAATGGACTTCGGATTGTATATTTTACTTGCAAAGTGATTTAATATCAAAATGTTGGAGCTTTGCACATAATTGAAATATTATCACACATATTCTTCTAATTTCGTCAGGGAGAAGAGATTAATGGGTAAACACATGGACATATACTAAAAACCCATAGGCCATTGTAGCTCGGAATATATAATGTTTGATTTTCCACGTCATTAATAGATGGAATATAAGAATATTATAAGCTTAATTGTTAAGGTACATAACGTGTTCTTATTTTCCATTCAAAATTATCTGGAACGACCTTTTTTATTGTGTTTTTCGAGTTTTGAGAAAACCTATTTTTCGTCCTTTTGGAATTTTCTCTTATCCGGAAATTGCATGGAAATCTGCAAATTTATTAGGAGAAGTTCAAGAAGAAATTTAATGTCTTTTTTAAAGGACTCGAATCTTTAATATTATGTTAATATATGTTCTATTTGTCATGCTAATTAAGATATATGTATATATATATTAAGAAAAGAAAATGAATCAGGAATTCGTAGACATACGATATGAAAAAAAAAAAGTACCAATATATAAGATTAAATTATACAATAAGATTTAGTGATGATTAGTCAACCATTAATCCTACAAAATTTTGTATAGAGTGTGAAACTGCTCGTTTTATCGTGATAATTAAACAAGTGAAAAACATTGGGTCAACGTGTTGAACAAGTGGCAGTTTGACTTCCACTTTGTCAGATGTCTGACTGAGAGGAGGCTATCCCCTTGGACCCGCTTGTCTGGTCCCCTTCCATTAACGAAATCAAGAATCATCCTATCAGAATCCGACACGTGTTATCGACAAAAAACATATCAAAGCCCAGTCCCTTGTCCAATGGGTCATAGTTTATTGGGCCGAGGCCCGTTTTCTTCTCATGTCTAGCCCATTTAGGCTCATTGGGGGTCTTGTCCATGAAGCAACTCAACCTGGCTTTGGCAAAATCATTCGATTTTTGTACATCAAAATCAAGTTTTACTAACCAGATCTTGTTTAATATCCAAAATTCAGATGTTTACGAGCTGAGATAATATATATATATATATATATATA